TCTCACCATTCATTTGAGGATGATGACTAGATGATAGTCCCTGACTAGAACCCCAAAAGTCCAGAAAAGCTTTTCAGAACTTGGAGATGAACTGCCCCCCTGGTCTGAGATTATATGTTGTGGGGCCCCATGAAATCAATTAATGTGTTGCACAAAGAGTTTAGCCAGCATTTTGGTGGTTGGGATTTTTGGGCATGGGATGAAATGGGCCTGTCTGGAGAACTGGTCCGTAACCACCCAAATAACTGTATTTCCCGCACTTTTGGGAAGCTCCACAATAAAATCCCTAGAGCTCTCTCTCCGGGGTGCTGAAGAGCTTGATACTGGTTGAAGCAGCCCAGGTGCTTTCCCTTGCTGCTTTGCTGCTGCACATGTGGGGCGGCTGGCCACATAGCTCTCAATGTCCTTCTTTATTGAGGGCCACCAAAAATTAAGAAGGTGTAGGGCAGACATGTCAAACACAAGGCCCGGAGGCCGGATGTGGCCTGCAAAGTGGTTTCATGTGGCCCGCGAAGCGATCCTGGAAACAGTGAGGGAATGGCCCCCGCTGCCTTGGCCCTGGCCCAGGCTGGCCGGGAGCCAATGTACAATTTTGTGGTGGCCATCTATGCTGAAATGCATTCAGTCTTAGCTCCACAGGGCCATCTGGACACAGAAGGAACAGCCCCTGCCGTGTCAGCCCCGCCCCCTGGGTGCATGCCGGGGAGGTGTCACCCTTTGTGAGGAATGAAGAAATGCACCATCGCCTGGAAGTGCCTTGCCTACTTCACATATCTGGCTTGATGGGCTCTGGGGGAAGGGTTTTGGCAGCCAATGGGGCGCTCTCCTCACAGCGCCGAGAGGTTGAGCTGGGCAGTGCAAAGCTCACCAGCTTTGCACCTTGCTGCCTGCTGAAACTGGACAGGCTGGGGGCTAGGCAGCATTGCACTTCTCATCAGATTCGCACCACCCGGCTCAGCTCTTGGTGCCCCGCTACCTGCCGAAACTGGGCAGGCTGGGGGCTGGGCGGCATCGCACTTCTTTTTGGATTTGCACCGCCCAGTTCAGCCTCTTGGCGCTAAGAGCAAAGCGCCCTGCTGCCTACTGAAACTGGGCAGGTTGGGGGCTGGGCGGCATTGTGCTTCTTTTTGGATTTGTGCCGCCCGGTTCAGCCTCTCGGCACTGTGAGGAGAGTGCCTTGCTGCCTGCCAAAACTAGGCAGGCTGGGGGCTAGGTAACATTGCGCAGGTAACGTTGACACTCATGCTGCTCATGGCATCCCCTTCCCCAGAGCCCACCAAGCCAGATATGTGAAATAGGTGAGGGCCATGTGCTGGCCACTTCCAGGCGATGGTGCATTTCTTCATTCCTCACGAAGGGTGACATCTCCCCAGCTGTGTTTCTTGCCTGTTTTTCTCCCTCCCTTATTTCAAATATTTTCCCACCACTCTGTACTTAGGAAGGAAGGAAAGGAAAGGGAGGGTCTGATGGATGTCCTGCCTTAGTCCTGCCCTGCTGCCCTTTCACCATCCCTTTGCCCCCTCCTCCTGGCCTATCCTGGGGGTCTCCCTTCCTATTGCTAAGGAAGCTTTGGATACAAAGCCAGGTCTCCTCCCATGGAGAGGGAATGGGCCTCCCTCTGACTTTGCCCTTGTACCCATCATGTGCAACCTGGGTAAGGAGAGCAAGCACAGCAGCAGCAGCTTTGAGGAGTTAAGTGCAGCTGGGTGCCCCCTTGGGGAAGTGGGGCTGGGCTTGGTACCATGGGTGCTCGAAGGCCAGGCTGGGCATTTGACCTCTGCTGTCCAGGGCTCCGGGCAGGTGGCACCACCATCCAGTCCCTCCTGCATGGCCTGAGAGGAACAGTGAAGTTCCTCCAGTGGACCATGCCTTGGCACTTGCCCTGGTCCCACCCTGTTCTGCCAGAGACCCTCAGATCTGTCCCACTCCTGCCCAGGCCCCCACAGGCACCCTTGACGCAAACGATGTAGAGCTGGCCATGCCCACCCAGTAGGCCACACCCACTCCATCCACACCCACCCAGTAGGCTGCACCCACCCGGCCCCCCGAGGACAGCCGCAATGCTGAGCAGCCCTCAATGAAATTGAGTTTGATACTCCTGGTGTAGGGTTTTGACTAACCCAAAATGTCCAACTATCTATCGAATCATGGCCAGCTTGTATAACTCTTAGTCTTAGTGCTGCTGGAACATATAATTTATTTCCGACCCAGGCTAGGTTGTCTTTTATTAAACAAAGGTTTTTATGGTTCGAAAACCACTCATCAGTTTCTAGTGCTTTCTTACATCTATGGGCTGTCGTCAAGTGGCCAGGGGTTCTGGTTTGCACCTTTGTGGTGAATGGGGCTGCCAACTGTTTTGGGGAAAGCAGTGGCTTCACTATTTCAGACTTTACACTATTGTATTGTGGCATTCTAGATAGCGCATCTGCCAGAAATTTTTTTCTTCCAGGGAGGTAATGAATCATAAAGCTGAATCAATGAAAGTGTTGAGGGCATGTCGGTTGTGACCCACCTCGGTAGGGCAGCTGCCTCTCCCAGCTGGGCACTATGCAGATCTCGCCTTATGTAAGGACCTACTTCAGCTAAGCCGTGCAAGAAAGCAGAATTCTTGAAACAGGCATTGTCTCAAAAGGAACTTTTATTAGGGGCTAATGATAGCAGGGAAAACAAGGCAAGATCTGAGAAAAACCCATGAAAGCAGTATATTAAAAGCAGTATTCAATACTCCTTCTCCCAGGGTCCCAGTGTTCATTTGAATTCCAGCCAATCCACAGATGGCATAGTGTTTTGGTAACTGGCTTCTTTGACACGTTCTTTCAAGGTCTCTCTCGCTTTCGTTTCCTTCTGGCTACAAGCACAACTGTCTCTCAGATAAGGGTGATACATTCTATCCCCTGGGGGAAGGGCACAATATCAAGACAGTGCAAAGCATCCCCCCTCCCAATGGAATGACAGGCCCCAAAGAAAGGTTACAGATTCATGAATAGGCATAGGGAAACAATGTATTTCTTTGGGGACCTGACAAAATGACTTGCTATTTATTTACCAAGTAGTTCATGAATAATGTTTTGTCAAAGGGAAGATTTGTAAACTGGAATAGAGTGTATTTAACAAACACTTCATCTTTCTTGTATGAAAAACAAATTATGGTTTCTTTTCAAACCCTGTGATCCTGAGGTTAAACAAGAATATTACATAGTGTAAGGACCTGCTTCAAAACCTCTTCCCAAGAGAGCAGAACTTTTGGAATAGATTCATCCCAAAAGGAACTTTTATTAGAAGAAGTTGACAGCAGGCATAGAAGGCAGGATCTGAGGGTTTCCCACTCAAATCAATAGGTTAAAGGAGCAAAAAGCAAACCCCCACCCCAGTAGTTCATCCAGTCAGTTCAAACAGACCAATCCCCAGGTGTTAAGTCCACTGTGGGAACGAGGCTGATAAGACTCCGTTCCCAAGGCTGTGAAAACATTGTTGGGTCTTTGCACCTTCTCTTCCGCAGCGAGAGATAAGCCAGATGGCCAGAGGCACATTCCTTTCTCACCCCAGGTTGACATCAAGGGGAAAACAGTTCAAAGAGCAAGCAGATAGAGGAAGCAGAGAGAATACAGTACATTGTAGCAGCTAAGCAAAAAGACAAGATACATAGTAATTCCCCAAAGGCCTCCCCCCAGGAGTATGGCAGAACCTGCAGAGGGAAAAAGGAAAAGACCCAGACCCATCTAATAAAATCCCCCTACCAAAGAAATGGGTTCTGATATATAGAATAAGATTCTGAATGCCAAGTCATTCTGGGCTTTAAATTAATTATTATCCTAGATACATTAGAATGCATCCATCAGTCAATGCAAAAATCTGTCTTAGGCGGAGTACTCTTCAACATCTTCATAAATTATTTAGATAAGAGGATAGAAGGGGAATTCATCAAATTTGCAGACAATATCAAGCAGGGAGGGAATAGCCAATGCTTTGGAAGACAGACCTATGGGGCAGAAGGATCTTGATGCTGGGTCTAATCTAACAAAATGCAATTCAGTGGGGAGATAAATAAGATCTTACACTTAGGCAAAAAACAACAAATGCACAGGTATAGAATAGGTGGTACCTGGCTCAACAGCAGTAACTGTGAGAACTGTGCATACACAAGATCTAATAAGAGATTCATTGCTCCATTCCCCATTTTAAAAAATATGAATAAGAAAGTAAAAGAGTTTTCCTTTTTTCAGCCACAAACTAGTCTTCTGCTCTTAAATGTCCTTCAGCGTGCAAGATTAGGCTATTCCCATACTCAAAGAGAAAATAAAATAGAATTCATATGGAAGTAAAGAATACCACTTAAAGAGGTGATTCAAGGAGAAAAAGTTGGGAACAGAATTGACTTCCTAATTAACAGGTACGATGCAGAAAGAAGAGACTGTTTAGGAATTGACACTGTTAGTAGTGCCTGAAGCTTCTTAATTACATCTTCTTTTATCATCTTATTAAGATGGTAAAAGCTATTCTCAGTGTATTTTATTGCATTAAGATTGATGGTGGGCTTTCCCCCTAGAAATTAATATTCAGTCATTTGCTCAAATTCAGAGTGAAATCAGTGAAGACAAAATGTAAGCAGATTGGTGGACTATTTTTTTCTGTACAGGTGGTCCTCATTTAACAATCACTCATTCTGCAACCATTCAAATTTACAACAGTGCTGAACAAGTGGTAATTATGATTGGTCCTATTTACAGCCATTACAGCATCCTTGCAATCATATGATCATTATTTGTGACCTTCCCTGTTGGGTTCCAACAAGCAATGTCAGTGGGGAGCTGGCATCAAATGCAGTCATGAGATCCTCATTTTACGACCCATGAAGTCTTCACTTAATGATAGTGACTGTTGTCGCTATCATTAGGTGGTGTAGTCAAATGGTTTTTCGATACAGTTGATTAACAACAGAGTTTCCTGTCCCAATTAGCATTCTTAAACAAGGACTACTCAGTTCGTTCAGCATTTGAAATCAGTTTAAAATAGTTTATTACAGTGCTTAGTATTTCTGAAATATACCATTAACATGATAATTGAGAAGAGTGGGGGAGACACATTTTTAACTCTGTTCTAGTTACTGTTTTTATTTGTAATTTTGATTTAATGGCATTAAGTCAACACCATTGGAAATATATATATCAATATATTTTAAATGAGGCTATCAGTTCTATTATTTAGGGTTTTCATTTGCCATGTAAATCAAGACCAATACTCTTCCATGAAATTTAAAAGAATAAAATTTGTTTCAGTAAGATTTGTGTTTTGTGATTTAACATAGAGAAAGTAAATGGTTACTTGCCATACAAAAGATGGGCTCCTGATGCAGAATAGTAAACTAGTAAATGGAATAGTAAATTAGACACGGTTGAAACTGCAGCCCTTCTGTGGCCAGAGTAGAGTAGATCTTAGTGCATGTAGAAAGGTATTATTTAGGCTGGCAGCACATCCTAAGCACAGTAACTACTGAAGGTAAAACTCCACCCAAGGTTGTAAAATGCTTAGTTAGAAAACATTTTATACATAGAAGACTGCAGGCGTGTATTCATATCCAGTTATAACTCCAAGCCAGAGAGGAAAGGCAGAAAACATTTTAATTACACCCAAAAATAAGGAAAAAGAAGAAATATTCAGCTTTAATAATAAATCTCTTAAATTCTGCTTACCCAGAATTAAAAAATCCCAGGAAGAAGAGTAACAATTTTTTAAAAAAAAAGATAAATGGTACAAGCAGATGAAACCTAATCTAAATGGGAGAAAAATACAAATAAGTTATCTTGACATCTGGCATATTTAAGGTTATTATTTCTGTGAAGACACAGATAAAAGTTTCATTTATTTTCTGTTTTCTATTTTAAAAAGATATATGCAATAGTGTGCAAATCTGAACAAGAATTCTACTGTTTCGCGTTTAAAGATTACTTCCAGCAATAAAATATACATGATACAATGCAGAATCTTGTAGCTATAGCACCTTTTGCAATGAGAAACATAATCTTTAAGCAATGTATTTCTAAACTAATTGTGCTGTATGGAGAAAAGAAATCTATTTTTCTTTTACAGGTGTGTTTCTTGACTTACAACCATTTGTTTAGTGACTGTTTGTAGTTATAGCTGCACAGAAAAAAGTGACATGTCCATTTTTCAAACTTACAACTTTTGCAGCATCTCCATGATCATGAGACAAAATCTGGGCACTTGGCATGTATTTAAGACAGCTGCATTGTCATGTGATGGCCATTTGTAACCTTCCCAGCTGGCTTCCGACAAGAAAAGTCAGTATGTGGGGGGATTCACTTAACAACCTCAATGACTGCAAAAAAGGCAAAAATGGGGAACTCACTTAATAACTGCCTTGCCTAGCAACAGAAATTTTGGCTCAATTGTGGCTGTAAGTCAAGACTACCTGTATGCAAGTTCTATTCCTCAATCATATACAATATTTACTGTCATACAACAGTGAAAACCATAGAAAGATATTGTTCATAAGACACTTGTATCCAGCCGTCCTGATCAGTATCATAGCGTCTGAAGACATCTGTCCATTTCTGGAAGAAAAAAGTTAATGTCAAATTGTCTGCAGATAAAATGCCTGTGTTCCATTATAGAAAATGCATATAACAACCATGAGACAGATATGATACACATACTGAAATCTAAATTGGGGAGGGGAATATTTTTTCTACAGTTTTTTACAATGAAAGTAGAAGTCAGGATCCCAATAAAGGGTTGGACAAAGTCAATGGTCCATAACATAAAGCTGTACTTGAATTGAAACTTTCATATCCTTGTTTTCATGTTGCATACTTGAAACAATTTGATCATCTGGCTTCATCTGGCTTCTTTATATCCCCCAGTCTATGATTACCTGCAGTACAACACAGCACTGAATGAAGTCATCAAAAGCCACTTGCCCTCTTCTTTGCCTATCAAATTTCTGAATCAAGAGATCGTAGAACTGGTCAGTCAGTCGGTATCCTTAATAGAATTGGAAACATTAATAAGCAAAATTTAAAATAATTACATTCTATAATTGCAGCCACCTACATAAATGATATTCATGTAAGCAAATAACCCCCCCCCAGGAAGTTTCAGATATGACAGAACAAAGGAACCAATGTGATTTAATCAGATCCTTTAGAGCTAGCTGACACCTTTTTATTTTATGAAAAATCAGGCTATCCCATAAAGCATACTGTGATGTGTCATGAATAAGAACCATGGTGGCCCAGTAGTTAGAATGCAGTACTGCAGACTAAATCACTGCTCACTTCAGGAGTTCGATTCCAAGTGGCTCAAGGTTGACTCAGCCTTCCAATCCTTTCGAGGTTGGTAAAATGAAGACCGATTGTTGGGGGCAATATGCTGACTCTGTAAACTGCTTAGAGAGGGATGTAAAGCACTATGAAGTGGTATATAAGTCTAAGTGTTATTGCTAAGTGCTATTGCTATTGTAACAAAAGTTATGGCTGAAAACAAACAATAATGTTTACTGGATTGGTAAAATTAAATAAAATTAAAATCTGAATAGAATAGAATAGAAGCTGGAAGGGACCTTGGGAGATCTTCTAGTCCAGCCCCTTGCTCAATTAGGAGAACCTATACCATGTCAGACAAGTGACTGTCTAGCCTCTTAAAAATCTCCAGTGATGGAGCGCCCACGATTTCTGGAGGCAAGCTGCTCACTGTCAGGAAGTTTCTCCTTAATTCCAGGTTGCTTCTCTCTTTGATCAGTTTCCAATCACTGTGGTTGGAAACCATCTTGGTATACTATGTGTTTGTAAATAGTGCTGTGTTGTCTGAATACCTCTTCAATCAGGTTTTTAAATAATTACTTATAAGAATGTACAAGAATGAAAATAATGTTTTATTTAAATAGAAAGAAATAATAACCCTGAGCATCAAATACCATGTTCCTCCAAAAATTTATTTATTTGCCTCCAAAGAGGCACCAGGTCTTATTTTTGGGGGGTGTCTTTTCCATGGTCTTACCTCACAGCAGCGGCACTGACAGCTCCAACCAGCTGGCCCACTTCTTATGCAGCCGAAGGAAATGCCTCTGCAGCTGTGACTGGACCTCTGGATTGATACTCGCAGTGCCCCTGGCCTGCATTTTGCTGTCAGAGGCCTTCTGGAAAGGCTTCTGCAGCCGAGAACCGGGTTACGGATTGAATCTGTGGCTTGGTTCTCGGCTGCAGAGGCCTGTCCGGAAGGCCTCTGATAGCGAAATGCAGGCCGGGAGGAATCTGGAACTTTTCAGCTGCAGAGGCATTTCCTGAAGGCATCTAATAGCGAAATGCAAGTCGGGGGGCACCACAGAAGAAGTGGGCTGGTCAGGTGAGGCAGCTGTTGATTCATGGGAGGCCTGGCTATAATGGTAAGCAGGTATGGGGCACATGGGGCAGTTCCATCCCAATACTCCTGCCCAAGCTTGATTTTTAGGCATGTGCCTCTCCCCAAAACTAGGGCTTATTTTGGGGGTAGGGCTTATATTAGACCCACCCCTAAAAATTGAGCTAGGGCTTATTTTTGGGATAGGTCTTACTTTTGGGGAAACATGGTAGTATGTACTCAGGAAGCCATTCTACTGTATCATGAAATGCATTTCACAGAATCTGTATTATTAAGTTAGAAATCTAAACGGAGTAAGGTTTCCACCTAGGGAGAAATGCATTCAACAACTTTTTAGTAAAGTATATTATATAAGCTTACAGAAATCATTACACATCATGTGTAATGATTTCTGTAAGCTTATATAATATACTTTACTAAAAATTATACTCAAATTTATTCCCTTTCTCCCTCAGAGGAATGTAAGTTCTTCAGAGTGAGTGACTTTACTGTCAAGCCAGTTTCATTCATATGAGAAGCGAACATCAAGCCCAGATGCCACACCAGAAAACTTGGCTGTGAAGTATGAGAGGCTGTTCTTCAGAAAAGATTTCATGTACCCAATCATACTGTTAAAACAATGCTCTTTTAAATCTAGATATTTGGAACAAAAATATACGTTTAAAAATGGATATGCTTTTTCCTCTTCCCTACTTTTTATTATAGAATCATGTTTTTGAAATTGTAAAGATACCTTTATAAGCTGTTTCAGATTTCTCTTTTTCTCTTCCTCCCTCTCTGTGTCTATGCATATGTGTGTATTTGTAAAATCTTCAAATATTTTGTAAAATTAGTGAACAAGAGTCCATATCCTTAACATTTTCTATCAAGTATCATTTACATTATAGTAATACTTTTAAAATGGATTTTGAATCCAATTCTAAATCCAAAATGAATAGTATAGCAGGCTTTAAATAACAATGTTCAAAAGATGATTCATTTTAAAATATCCCCCACTTCAAATCTTCAATAAACTGACCTGTAATCAGTTATTTTAATACATAATATCTTATAAATTACACCACAGAGAAAACTAAAGAAAGGGGCGTTGTCTTACCTGAACGCCTTTTCTCAGCACGGAGATGGAGAATCCACCAATGGGTTTAGACTGTGTTCCTGCCCAATCAGATCAAGTCAGCCAAAGTTGCCACGCCTCTCCTGGGCTAGAAGGTCCCAGTCTTGATGAAGGCGAAGCCATGACTGACAGCAAGACGTGTTGGCTCATAAATGTAAAGCTAGGCCTAATAACCTGCTAGGGTGGGAGTGGATTCTCCATCTCCGTGCTGAGAAAAGGCGTTCAGGTAAGACAACGCCCCTTCTCCAGCACTGGAGATGGAGAATCCACCAATGGGACATACCAAAGCTAATTGTCCCTAAGGGAGGGAATCAAACCTGCCCAGCGAGGCACTTTGGGATAGTACCTGTTGCAGAACCCTCCTGCCAAAAGACGCCTCCGCTGAGGCGAACCTGTCGATTTTGTAATGCCTAATGAAGGGTGACGGAGAGGACCATGTGGCCGCTCTGCAAACGTCTTCAATGGACGCTTGAGTAGCCCAGGCTGCAGAAGTAGCCGCACTATGGGTGGAATGGGCCGTGATGCGCCCTGGAACCGGCACTGAATCCACCCTATACGCCTCCGCAATACAAGCCCTGATCCACCTGCCAATCATGGAGGACACTTTCCTGCCCCTGGAAGGAGGATGATATGAAACGAAGAGGGCTTCGGTAGAGCGGAAGACAGCTGTCCACGAGATATAATAACGAAATGCTCTGCGGACATCCAGCAGATGCCACTGCCGTTCCAGATCATGTGAGGGATTAGGACAGAAATCTGGTAACACAATTTTTTGAGTCCTGTGAAATAAGGAATTTACCTTTGGAACAAAGGTTGGATCAAGACGAAGGACCACTCAGTCACGGTGAAAGATACACAAATCATCTCTAGTGGAGAGAGCTGCTAGTTCGGAAATCCGCCTCACAGAGGTGATAGCCACCAAAAAGGCTACTTTGAGTGATAAGAATCTCAACTCACATGTTTTGAGGGGTTCAAAGGGCGGATTGGTAAGAGCCCGCAATACCCTCGGTAATTCCCAGGAGGGATATCTGTGGACTACAGGAGGCTTGATGTTGGTAGCACCCTTGATGAATGATCGGATCAGGGGATGGTGACCCAGGGAAGTTGCAGATTCGCATGTAAGGATGGTGGACAAAGCAGCAATCTGTCTGCGTAGTGTGCTTGGAGCCAGACCCCTCTGCAGACCCTCCAGGAGGTAGTCCAATATGTGAGGAATTGTCAGATCTGACAATGTCAGGTGGTGCTTTGAGCACCATGAACAGAAATTTCTCCACGTGGCCTCATAAATCCGATTGGTAGAGGCCCAACGGGAGGCCTGGATTATAGAAATGACTCCAGACGAACAGTGCTCCTGAGCTAAAACTGAGCGCTGAAGTGCCATACGGCTAACTGTAGCCATTGTGGGTCTGGATGAAGTAGTGTCCCTTGACTGAGCGAGACCCTGTCCGGAGGAATCCTCCACGGATCCGCTAATGAGAGGTTCACTAAGTCGGCGAACCACGGTCTCCGAGGCCAGTACGGTGCCACTAGGAGAACTTCCGCCTTTCCCTGAGGATCTTGCGTATGATTGCCGGGAGAAGGGGGAGAGGAGGGAAGGCGTAAAGTAAACCCTCCGGCCACGGACTCCGTAGAGCGTCCGTGTACTCTGCCCCCGGGCATGGGAAACGGGAGAAGAAACTCGGTACCTGAGTGTTTGACGGGGAGGCGAAGAGGTCTAGAATTGGAAGTCCGAATCTGTGGGATATTTCCCTGAAAATCCCCGGGTGCAGGCGCCACTCTGAGTGGTTCACCATTGTTCTGCTGAGGAGATCCGCTTGCGTGTTTGCCTCCCCTGATATGTGATCTGCCTTGATGGAGGCCAGATTTGCCTCCACCCAAGAACCCAGAAGGAGAGCCTCGGTAAGGAGGGCACGGGATCGAGTGCCCCCTTGTCGATTCACATGGGCCTTGGCCGCAACGTTGTCCGTGAGGACCAGTACGTGACGTTTCGCTACCGAGTTGCGAAAGTGTCAAAGGGCCAGGTGTATGGCCCTGAGCTCCAGCCAGTTTATATTGTGTCGAAGGTCGGACTGGGACCAACGGCCTTGGTGCGCACCCCAACTGAATAGACTGGCGTCGGTTGTCAGAGTTATTCGGTCCAGTTCCTTGAATGAGGACCCTCTGAGTATGGCCGACGAGAGCCACCACCTGAGGGAGCACGACACTCTGAGTGGAATTCGCACTTTCCGAATTGATGAGCTGAGGTTCCGTCTCTGGAAAGGGAGCAGAAACCACTGAAGTGTCCTGGAATGGAGCCTGGCCCAAGGAACGATGGCAATGGCTGATATCAATTTCCCCAATAATTGGGAGAGACTTGCTATTGTTGCCATGCCGTTCCCGCATATTTGTAGGACCAACTGACGTATGCTGTCCCGATGTTCTTGGGATAGAAAGACACGGCAGTTGACCGTGTCTATGATGGCCCCTAGGTGTAATAGTCTTGTTGTAGGGGACAAGTGACTGTTTGAAAAAT